AGGTGTCATCGAATATAATGGAAATTCCAGGACTGAGCTTTGAAGCTTCAAATTGCTCGGGTGTGAACAGGTCTTTAACCACCTCCCACCCGCCATATAGTCCAATGACGGGCGCAAGGTGGTTCTCTCGTTCTGGGAGGACGTCATATGACATCCTCCCATTCTCAGCGCGCATGCGCGGCTCGGGGGAGCGCGCAGCGCGGCGATCAGTGGTCCACTGTGTCCCTCGGACACAGCGGATCACGGAAAGAGCTGAAGATGTCGGCTCGGTCATGTGATCAGCTGTGTCCAATCACAGCTGATCACATGTAAACACGGAAATGCCGGTTATCAGCATTTCTCTCCTCATGAGCTGTCACTCTGACAGAGGAGAGGAGAGCCAGTAATCGGCTTTCCGCAGAGGGGACATGTACACTGATCATCAGGGCACTGATGATCAGTGTGCCCTGATGATCAGTGTAGCCCCAGCAGTGCGAACTGTTAGTGTCCATCAGTGCCTTGTGTCAGTGCTCATCAGTGCCACATATCAGTGCCCATCTGAGCTGCCTTTCAGTGTCACCCATCAGTGCCGCCTATCAGTTACAGTCAGTGCCGCCTATCAGTGCCATGTATCAGTGCTGCCTTTCAGTGCCCATCAGTGATGCCTGTCAATGCCCATCAGTGCCACCTACCAGTGCCTCCTCATCAGTGTCACCTATCAGTGTCCATCAGTGCAGCCCATCAGTGCCCACCACTGCAGCCTCATTAGCGCACATCAGTGAAGGAGAAAAATCACTTACAAAATTTTATAACAAAAACTAAGAAAAAACATTTTTTTTTCCAAAATTTTCAGTGGTTTTTGGTTTGTTTAAGAACAAAAATAAAAAACCCCGAGGTGATTAAATACCACCAAAAGAAAGCTCTATCTGTCTCAAAAAAATGATAAAAAATTTTAATATGGGTACAATGTTGCATGACCGCGCAATTCTCATTCAAAGTGTGACAGCGCTGAAATTGGCCTCAGGAAGGGGTTAAATTGGAAGTGCCCGGTGGACAGCAGGAAGGGGGTAGAAGTGCCCGGTAGGCAGGAAGTGCCCGGTAGGCAGGGGTAGAAGTGCCCAGGAAGGGGGTAGAAGTGCCCTGTAGGCAGGAAGGGGGTAGAAGTGCCCGGTAGGCAGGAAGGGGGTAGGGGTAGAAGGGGGTAGAAGTGCCCTGTAGGCTAGTGGTTAAAGTAGAAATGACTAAAATGAAAGGCAACCTTCAGATGCTTATCAGTAAGCTAAATTCTGGGGTAGCCCTTTGAAATGGTTCTAAGGCGGGGGTGTCAAACTTGACTTCATTGCGGGCTGCATAAGCATTATGGTTGCCGTCAAAGGGCCAGTTGTGTCTGTAATATGTATGTACAGAGAGCAGAGGTCAGGGGTACAACAAATTTCTCTTTCTCTCTGCTTGCAGAGAACCCCCCTTCCCTTCAATGAGAAAGCAACCGGGTATAGTATCAATATACTATAGTATATTAACCACTTGCCCTCCTGAGGATTTACCCCCCTTAATGACCACGCCTCTTTTTCGCTACTCAGGCGCTGCACTAACTCAACTGATAATTGCGCGGTCATGCAATGCTGCACCCAAACGAAATTTACGTCCTTTTTTTCACACAAATAGAGCTTTCTTTCTGTGGTATTTGATCACCTGTGCGCTTTTTATTTTTCACGCTATAAACAAAAAAAGACCAAAAATTTTGAAGAAAAACAATATTTTTTACTTTCAGCTATAATAAATATATAGTAAACTCAAAGTTGGTTATAAATTTAGGCCAAAATGTATTCTGCTCCATGTTTTTGGTAAAAAAAATCCCAATAAGTAGTATATATTGATTGCTTTGTGTGAAAGTTATAGCGTCTACAAACTATGGTATAGATATACTGCAATTTACGCCATTTTTTTGCGATACAGCGCTGCGCTAGTTTAACGGACAATTGCGCGGTCATGCAATACGGTACATAAATGAAATTTACATCCTTTTTTCACACAAATAGAGCTTTCTTTCAGTGGTATTTGATTGCCTGTGCGTTTTTTAATTTTTTTGAGCTATAAAAAAAAAAAAAAAAGCCTGACAATTTTCAGAAAAAAAACAATATTTTGGACTTTTTGCTATAAAACATGTCCAGTAAAAAAAATTTAAAAATCAAATTTCGTCATAAATTTCAGCCAAAATGCATTCTGCGACATGTCTTTGCTAAAAAAAAAAAAACCCAATACGTGTAAATTAATTGGTTTACGTGAAAGTTATCGCGTTTACAAATAGCGGGAAAGATACTGGGATTTTTAGTTTTTTTTTTATACTAATAATGGCGGCGATCAGGGACTTATGGCAGAACTGCTGGACTGCGGCGGACATTCTGATACTGGGGGGTAACTGACTTGGGGTCACTGACATCCCCAGTGACACCAATACAGTGATCAGTGAAAAAAAAAAAAAACACTGACACTGTACTAATGGCACTGGGGAGGAAGGGGTTAACTTTATTATTCAGTGAAAGGGTTAACTGTGTGAGGGGAGTGTTTTACTAGGGGGCGGGGGGGTGTGCTGCACGGGGACACGCTGATCGGGAGAGAGAAATTCTTATCTCTAGCTCAGCATGTCAGGAGCTGACAGGGAACTGACAGAAAGCAGAGCTACTGCAGCTGTGCTTTCTGTCAGTGATTGCCGCTAATCGGCAGGACACAGCCGGTAATGAACGGCTGTGACCCGGCGACTGACACCCGCGGCCAGGATCGGCGGGACAGGTAGGGCGGCGGCGCGCCTCATGCGTACCCCCTACCTGTTTTGCAAAAGCGCATTTTAAAACATGCTTTTGCCCAGCTGCTGTATTTCTACAGTGGCTGGGCAGCAAGTGGTTCAAATAAACACTGAAGTGCTAAATGCGCCTAGCATTTAGATGCATTTTTGCTGTGCTAGGTGTTTTGACAGAAAAACATCAAATGCGATACTTCTGCATTTTACTGCCTCTTGAACTCTGCTGCTCCTAAACTCTGATAAAAGCCTATGAGTACAGGAACACATAGATTTATTGAATTTAATTCAGGAGCTTTAGCAAAAAAAAATGCCAAAAGCTCCTAAACGTGCGTGTAGAAGCAGCAGTGTGCATGAAGTCCTAGGCCTCATGTACACTGCTGCTCCTAAATGTGAGTTTTTGGGGATCTTTTACCAAAGCCCCCTAAACTCAACTCAATAAAAGCCTATGGGGTTGATTTACTAAAAGCAAATGGACTTTGCAGTTGCGCTCCGCAAGAGCAGTTCCTCCAGAGCTTAATAAATGAGCAGCTCTGTTGACTTCCATCATCCAATCACATGCAAGCGAAAAATGCAATATTTTTTATTTTCCTTGCACATGATTGGGTATTCTTTGCAAAGTGAAGCTGTACCTCATTTGCTTTCCATCTGGACTCCTCAGGCTGGTAGAGTGGCATCTGTTTCTTTACGTGACCTGAGCTTTTGAAATGACACTGGGATGCCGGCATTCTCTTTCTGCAGACCTAAAATAAACATTCAAGCGAGCGCTTCTTAAAATAGAAATAAAAGCAGCTTGTATAAGGAAAGAACCTGTAAATCCTTAAAAACATATAGATCAGAAATGCAGCGCTAAAACACATATGAGTATCAATATATCTCACATAAAAATGAAATGCCAAGTGACGAGTGATAATAGATAAATCAGAGCGCTGAGGATGAGCGCAATAAAGTGAAAATAGTGCATCATCCTAAATTAGACTAATAACAGTAAGGTAAACGCACATTATAAACGTATAGCGGTCCAAAAGAAACAACTTTTTCTTATAAGTGCCTAAATCATCCAGTGTCGGGGGATAATGGTTGCTTCTCACTGGAGGTGCATTAATAAGGTGCTCGTGACTTCTGTGGATAAGAAAAGTGGTGTGCTTGCACTCACCAGATGCACAATATAATTGCGCATGTATAGGGCACTAGTGGTCTCTTTGGCTTGAATGTATGTCTGCTGATAAAAAGAATGACACTGCTATCTAAAAAAAAGTTTTTCATATATAATAAATACAAAAACAAGAAATATATCATTTACACCTGCACATAAATCCGTCCTACCACTGTTGTCTACTGCACATCATTGTAGCTCAGAAGCAACCTGCACAGGACTGTAAGGTCTGGTCTTTGCGACGTTCTCTCTTTATTCAGGGTGATTGGTCTTGTGTCTGGGTTCGCAAAGGCATTTGCTACACACAAATGTAAATGAGAGTTTTTGTGCTCGGAGTTCAGCTTTAAGCCTGGGTTCACACCGATGCGGTGCAGAATGCACGTTTTCTGTGCAAATTCAACACCGCATCAGAATTGCACCCCGTTCATGTGAACCGGTGCGGGTGTGTATGTTAACACCCTGAAATCGCTCCACAAAACATGGTGCGATGTGCAGAATCAGATCGCATGGGTGTGAATACCCATGCGATCTGATTCTAATGCGTACCAAAAAAAGGGTCCTAGACCTTTTTGGTGAGGATGCGGTGCGATTTGAGCCTTACAGAATGTATGGCTCAAATTGCACCGCACAGAATTTGCATATGATTTGCACAGGAATGCGACGCGGTTCCTGTGCGAATCACATCCGATCTACCGCACCACATATACTGTATGTGAACCTAGCCAAAAAACTATTTTTATAGATTTTGCTTTTCAGTGTAACAAGCTTTCAGGGTGTCAAGTTAAGGGGTTTACAAGGCAGGATCGAGTGCACCTCTGATTTTAAGATCATTCCTAACCAGGGGCGGACTGACAACTCATGGGGCCCCCGGGCAAATGGGGATCATGGGGCCCCTGTGTTCTTGCCCAAACTCAAAAAAGCCTATGAAAAAGGTACCAGGGGCATCTCATGGGACCCCCTACTGACCCCGGGCCCTCGGGAAGTGCCCGAGTTTCCAAATGGTCAGTCCGCCCCTGTTCCTAACATAACTGATGGAATATTATTTTCTTTTACTTGCAGGAAAATACAATGATTGGCGTGGTGGTAGTAGGCGTTGGCATCGCTGGTTCTGTGAGGATCCGAGATCTTCTTAAGCCATTGCAATCTAGTCCATCAGAAAACCTGAAAATTGTCGGTTTTGTTTCAAGGTCAGTTTTCATTTCAAGTTCTTATACAAAATATGTTTAAGCTTTAGGCCCCATTCACATTTTAAGTAATTTGTAGCTCAAAAACATTCAACAAGCAAAAACCAATTGTTTTTCAATAGCCCTTTTCTGTTGCTTGTAGCGAAATGCCTGTGTCTCTCTTTATCTCTCGTGAGCCATTTGCTCTTGCTGCTGTCAATCACAGTGAAGAGAGAGCAGGGGGTGGGGCCAAGCCATGCTGTGTTTGTCTATGGACACACATAGTGCTGCTCAGGATCAAGGCTGCAGGAGTGCCCCCATAGCAAGTGGCTTGCTATGTGGGGCACCCAGCAGGGGGAAGGAGGCAGGAGCTCCGGCAGGGAAACCAAGAATAGGAGGATCGGGGTTGCTCTGTGGAAAAGCATTGCACAGAGCAGGTAAGTATACCATTTCATTTATTTAAAATCAAAAATGTTTCCCTTTTTTTTTTTTTTTTTTTTTTTTTTTTTTTTTTTTTTTTTTTTTTTTTATACATTTTGTTTAAAGTGATTGTAATGTTTTTTTGTGTAGATTTATTTTAGGACTAAAAAAAAAAGAAACTAAGAAATGTTTGCATTTAGAGTATGTCTAAACCCAGCCATTGGGATCTCCATGTAAGGTTTAACATAGTGATGTAATTTCAAACCATATAGATAGAGAAGATATTATAAATCCTTCTAAATCTGCATCATTATCTATTATAACTCCTGGTATAAGGTGACAACGCTCTTCCATTTGTGCTCCTTTGCTTTGTCACACTATCACACATGTTCCTGATGGGAACTTCAAGCGACTGTGCCGAAACGAATTGTGCAGGCATGTTCGATCCGTGTTGACAGGCGTGCACTGCGTAGTGATACAAAGTAAGGGCTGGAGTAAGTGCATATAGACAGGAAGAGGATAGAAAGAGGCTCGAGGTGCAGTGCTAGCTACAAAAAACAGAAAATGACAAAAATAAATTAATAATCATTTAATTATCAAAAGATTGACAGTGTAAAGAAAGCAATATGTCTCTCAATTTCAATGCTGTCTGTATCCCTGTTGAGGGATTTCTCACACTACCCTTTTGCGGCACCGACCAGAACAGGAAGTAAGGGGAAATGACAAGTTTATTTTTAAAATAAAGGTTTATAAGTCTAGCTTTGTATATGCACCTAGTGTGCTTGTGTATTGTAAATCCTTATTTTTGTACCCTTTTTTTTTTTTTTTTTTTTAATTTCTTCTCTTCAGGAGAGACCTTGGTGAGCATAATGGTGTGAAGCAAATCTGCCTGGAGGAGGCGCTAAGGAGCAGTGAGGTTGATGCTGCTTTCATTTGCACGGACAATCAAAACCATGAGGAAAGTGTAAGGTATAATTCTTTGAGGTTTCCATAGACAAGATTATATCATTCCTTTTTTAGTGTGTGTTTGTTTTTTTTTTTTCTTCTTTTTCCAATTCTTAATTTAACCACTTCCAGTCCGGACACTTTTACCCCCTTTCTGTCTAGGCCAATTTTCAGCTTTCAGCGCTATCACACTTTGAATGACAATTGCGCGGTCATGCAACACTGTACCCATATTAATTTTTTAGCATTTTTTTGAGACAGATAAAGCTTTATTTTGGTGGTATTTATTCACCACTGGGATTTTTATTTTTTTTTGTGTAAATTAAAAAGTCCAAAAATTTTGAAAAAAAGTGTTTTTCTTATAAAATGTTGCAAATAATATTTCATCATAAATTTATATTTTTAGTAGAAAAAAAAAAAATAACCCAAATTAGTTTATAACCAAAAATTATAGTTTATTAAACATTTTTTTTTTTTTTATTATTTTTTATTTATTTTGTTTTTACATACTGTCACCCTAGCAGTACAGTGTCACCATGGTGACACTGTACTACTTATGGGGGGTGATGAAGATTTTTTTTTTTTTTTTACACTGATTGCTTTTACACCCATGAAGGATATAAAAGCAAACATTTCTCTCTTCTCTCTAGCTGCATTCCTGAAGTCATTGAGAACTACTGAGTGAGCTGTGATTGGTCACAGCTTGTCACATGGTACAAGGCTGTTGTGAATAGCCTTGTACTATGTGACCTCTCTGATCATTCACAGATTTCACACGTAGTAAGCAATGATGTCACAAGTGACATCTTGCTTACTACTCTGCATGTGATCACTGATTGGCTAATCAGTGATTACATGATCGGGACCTCGTTCAGAGGTCCCGGTCGACGATCGGTGTTCCACAGCGGGCACCGGATCGCGGTGCTGTGCGCTCCCAGGGAGCGCGCACAAGCAGGGGCGCGGGGAGGCCATTTATATACAACGGCCGGATGGGAGGTGGTTAAGTTGAGCATACTGAGAACTGCACATGCGTATCAGAGCGTTTACAAATGTTACATGTTTAAATCAGAAGGAGTCTTTATTCTACTATCAATTTTCTACCTATCTTTTAGTGATGAAATACAGAGGGTAACACTAAAATTTCCTTTGAAAATGCTAGATGCCTGGCTGCTCTGGTTTTCTATACTTTGAAACATGTACTTGGAACAAATAACTGATTTTTCAGATCTGCATAAGCCGGAACTACTAATCTCCATACTTATCATATTTAAAACCAAAAAAACCTGCGCTAGGAGTAAAACTATATAAACCCCTATCAAATAAATAATTACTGGTGCTGCTGCTCAAGTGCAAAGCACCGACTAATAAGTTCACATTGTAACACAGCTCAACAGTAACAGTACAAGTAGTGACCATTCTGTTTTTTAATATTCATATTTATTTCATTGTTTTTCTATTGTATACACAATCCTGAACTATTATTCATTTATTCATTGTTTATTTTATTACAGTCTGTATACAGATAGGGAGGATTATTTACTTTGGATAACATAATTTATATATTTATGTTATTGACATCTGGTGGATTGAATCTTTTAAACTGTATGGCAGATTTTGATTATCCCTTCCATATAGCACATTAGTGTTTTTTCTTTCATATAAAAGGTCTGGTGTTCTAGTTGTCAGCAGTGATACTCCTTTCCTGGCTGACTCTGCCAGGGCCCATCTGATTGGTCCCTGCCGGCCAGGCTGATAGCTTTAAAAAAAAAAAAAAATCCCTTCCTTTCCTATGGTGGGTCAGCTTGACAGCCTTGGAAATGCGTTTGGGAAAACTGCTAGGAATGTATGATATATTGGTTCAGTTGACAGGAATTTCACAAGGACACAAATTTTGGCACAAAAGTTTTTGTGTTTTTTTTTATTTTTATTTTTCTGTACTAGTACACTGTGTTATATATTATGTTTGTTTTGAGCTTCGACATCCTTAAGGGCTTGTTTACATTTTGCTTTGACTTTAACACACATTAACCGCCTCCCACCCGCCATATATGGTAATGACGGGCGCAAGGCGGTTCTCTCGTTCTGGGAGGACGATTGGTGGTACGCTGTGTCCCTCGGACACAGTGGATCACCAATCAACGGAAAGAGTCGAAGATGTCGGCTCGGTCATGTGATCAGCTGTGTCCAATCACAGCTGATCACATATAAACAGGGAAATGCCGGTTATCAGTATTTCTCTCCTGACGAGCTGTCACACTGACAGAGGAGAGGAGAGCCGGTAATCGGCTTTACTCAGAGTGGACATGTGACTGATGATCTGTGTAGCCCCAGCAGTGCCACCTGTTAGTGCTCATCAGTGCCAGCTGTCAGTGCCCCTCAGTGCCACATATCAATGCCCATCAGCTGCCTATCAATGCCCAGTCTGAGTCCTGCCTATCAGTGCTGCCTATCAGTGCCATATATGAGTGCTGCCTTTCAGTGCCCATCAGTGATGCCTGTCAATGCCCATCATTGCCACCTACCAGTACCTCCTCATCAGTGCAGCCTATCAGTGCCCATCACTGCAGCCTCATTAGCGCTCATCAGTGAAGGAAAAAAAAAAATCACTTATTTACAAAATTTTATAACAAAAACTAAAAAAATGTTTTTTTCAAAATTTTCAGTAGTTTTTTTGGTTTGTTTAGCAAAAAAATAAAAATCCCCGAGGTGATTAAATACCACCAAAAGAAAGCTCTATCTGTCTCAAAAAAATGATAAAAATTTCATATGGGTACAATGTTGCATGACCGCGCAATTGTCATTCAAAGTGTGACAGCGCTGAAAGCTGAAAATTGGCCTCGACAGGAAGGCGGTATAAGTGCCCTGTAGGCGAGGGGTTAAAGCACCTACTACTTCAACATGCTTTTTTTGATGCCAGTAGTTCCTGTAGAACCCCAGCTCAGTAGATGCCCCAGCTCACTAGTTAACCCGCTCAGCAGATCCCCCAGCTTATTGGTTCGCCCGCCCGGCAGATTCCCAGCTCATGGGTTCGCCCGCCCGGCAGATTCCCGCTCGGCCCAGATTCCCAGCTCATGGGTTCGCGCCGCCCGGCAGATTCCCAGCTCATGGGTTCGCCCGCCCGGCAGATTCCCAGCTCATGGTTTTCGCCCGCCCGGCAGATTCCCAGCTCATGGGTTCGCCCCGCCCGGCAGATTCCCAGCTCATGGGTTCGCCCGCCCGGCAGATTCCCAGCTCATGGGTTCGCCCGCCCGGCAGATCCCAGCTCATGGGTTCGCCCGGCAGATTCCCAGCTCATTCGCCCGCCCGGCAGATTCCCAGCTCATGGGTTCGCCCGCCCGGCAGATTCCCAGCTCATGGGTTCGCCCGCCCGGCAGATTCCCAGCTCATGGGTTTCCCGCCCGGCAGATTCCCAGCTCATGGGTTCGCCCGCCCGCAGATTCCCAGCTCATGGGTTCGCCCGCCCGGCAGATTCCCAGCTCATGGGTTCGCCCGCCCGGCAGATTCCCACTCATGGGTTCGCCCGCTCAGAAGATTCCCCCTCCCCCCTCCCCCCCAGCTCATTAGTTCACCCGCTCAGAAGATTCCCCCTCCCCCCTCCCCCCCAGCTCATTAGTTCACCCGCTCAGAAGATTCCCCCTCCCCCAGCTCATTAGTTCACCCACTCAGCTGACCCCCCCCCCCCCCCCCCCTCTCTCTCTAGTCTCTGCTCACCTCCCATTATATTGCTCCCATGCTGCACACTACATGTGACATCTACTAGTGTCTCATGGGCCAGTCCCCCAGCTCTGCTGATCCTTTCCGCTCAGCCCTCTCTCTCTGGTCCTCACTCATGGGCCAGTCCCCCGGTGTCTCATGGGCCAGTCCCCCAGCTCTGCTGATCCTTTCCGCTCAGTCCTCTCTCTCTGGTCCTCACTCGTGGGCCAGTCCCCCAGCTCTTCTGATCCTTTCCGCTCAGCCCTCTTTCTCTGGTCCTCACTCATGGGCCAGTCCCCCGGTGTCTCATGGGCCAGTCCCCCCCAGCTCTGCTGATCCTTTCCACTCAGTCCTCTCTCTCTGGTCCTCACTCATGGGCCAGTCCCCCGGTGTCTCATGGGCCAGTCCCCCAGCTCTGCTGATCCTTTCCGCTCAGTCCTCTCTCTCTGGTCCTCACTCATGGGCCAGTCCCCCAGTGTCTCATGGGCCAGTCCCCCAGCTCTGCTGATCCTTTCCGCTCAGTCCTCTCTCTCTGGTCCTCACTCATGGGCCAGTCCCCCGGTGTCTCATGGGCCAGTCCCCCAGCTCTGCTGATCCTTTCCGCTCAGCCCTCTCTCTCTGGTCCTCACTCATGGGCCAGTCCCCCGGTGTCTCATGGGCCAGTCCCCCAGCTCTGCTGATCCTTTCCGCTCAGTCCTCTCTCTCTGGTCCTCACTCATGGGCCAGTCCCCCGGTGTCTCATGGGCCAGTCCCCCAGCTCTGCTGATCCTTTCCGCTCAGCCCTCTCTCTCTCTGGTCCTCACTCATGGGCCAGTCCCCCGGTGTCTCATGGGCCAGTCCCCCAGCTCTGCTGATCCTTTCCGCTCAGCCCTCTCTCTCTGGTCCTCACTCATGGGCCAGTCCCCCGGTGTCTCATGGGCCAGTCCCCCAGCTCTGCTGATCCTTTCCGCTCAGCCCTCTCTCTCTGGTCCTCACTCATGGGCCAGTCCCCTGGTGTCTCATGGCCAGTCCCCCAGCTCTGCTGATCCTTTCCGCTCAGTCCTCTCTCTCTGGTCCTCACTCATGGGCCACTCCCCCCGGTGTCTCATGGGCCAGTCCCCCAGCTCTGCTGATCCTTTCCGCTCAGTCCTCTCTCTCTGGTCCTCACTCATGGGCCAGTCCCCCGGTGTCTCATGGGCCAGTCCCCCAGCTCTGCTGATCCTTTCCGCTCAGTCCTCTTTCTCTGGTCCTCACTCACTTTTGCTATAGTATTCCCATGTTGCACAGCACATGCTGTCTGCTGGTTTCTTTGCTTCAGTCCTAAACCCACTCACCATCCTGCTGCTCCATGCTGCACACCAGATGTGATGTCTGCACCAAACACTTCCAGAATACATACACATGAACCAGAAGTGACTGCCGATGATGTATTTCTGGTTTTTCTTGCTGGTTTCCTAGTGTATTCTGATATATCATTCCTGGAATACCTCCAAAACAAAGCAAAGCTAATGGAATAACGGCACCTCAATAGCTGCAGGTGCTGTTGTCATAGACTTCTTTGAAGCACCAAGAAAGCATCATGTGGTATAGCAAAGCAAACACGACAGTGTGAACAACAATGTAAGGTAACATATTTATTTAGTACGAGGTGCTTTGACTGGCATTTAGAGTGCTTAAAAAAGCGTGTCTAATGCCACATATTGAAGAGTGTAAACGAGGCCTTAACAATGGGAAACAAATCATCATATTACGCAGATAACTAATGATGCCAAACTCCTGATACAGGTAATGTGTGACATATGGACTGATATGAACTGTTATATCCGACTGTCCAAGTAACTTTGGGAGCTGTAAGATTCAAGGTCTGGGCTGTCATACGTTTACTAGTGAATCTCAACATCTGATACATACTTGTTCAAAGTCCGTAACTCACTGAGCAGTAAAGGAAGAATAAGGATGACAGCCCTGGAGCGTTTATCTTTAGGTACAAGGTAGCAGTGGCAGCACTCACGCTTCTTTACAGAAGATTTATTGTAAGATCTATACAATACATAGGTAAACTCAGAACACGATATGTGAAAATTAATCATTGTTCTATTTAAATGGTGCAATGCTCACTTTCCGTCTGTTTTCACCTGTAGTGTTTATTTTCCACCACTAGATGTCCTCAATCCTCTAGGTTGAATGACACTGGAAGACTGAGGACATCCTGTGAGTGCAGGACATCACAACAGCATACAATGATGCCAAGAACAGTGCAGAAGCAAAGTACAGGTGAAACTCGAAAAATTTGAATATGGTGCAAAAGTTCATTTATTTCAGTAATGCAACTTAAAAGTTGAAACTAATATATGAGACTCATTACATGAAAAGCAAGATAGTTCAAGCCGTGATTTGTCATCATTGTGGTGATTATGGCTTACAGCTCATGAAAACCCCAAATCCACAATCTCAGAAAATTTGAATATTGTTAAAAGGTGGAATAATCTCGGCTCAAAGTGTCCCACTCTAATCAGATAATTAAGCCATAACACCTGCAAAGGGTTCCTGAGCCTTTAAATGGTCTCTCAGTCTGGTTCAGTAGGAATCACAATCATGGGAAAGACTGCTGACCTGACACCATCACTGACACCCTCCATAAGGAGGGAAAGCCTCAAAAGGTAATTGCAAAAGAAGTTGGACGTTCCCAAAGTGCTGTATCAAAGCACATTAATAGAAAGTTATCTGGAAGGGAAAAGTGTGGAAGAAAAAGGTGCACAAGCAGCAGGGATGACCGCAGCCTGGAGAGGATTGTCAGGAAAAGGCCATTCAAAAGTGTTGGGGACTTTCACAAGGAGTGGACTGAGGCTGGAGTCCGTGCATCAAGAGCCACCACACACAGACAGAATCCTGGATATGGGCTTCAAATTTCGTATTCCTCTTGTCAAGCCGCTCCTGAACAACAAACAATGTCAGAAGCGTCTTACCTGGGCTAAAGAAAAACAGACCTGGTCTGTTGCTCAGTCGCCTGACCTGAACCCCATAGAGAATCTATGGGGCATTGCCAAGAGAAAGATGAGAGACATGAGAGACCGAACAATGCAGAATAGCTGAAGGCCGCTATTGAAGCATCCTGGTCTTCCATAACACCTCAGCAGTGCCACAGGCTGATAGCTTCCATGCCACACCGCATTGAGGCAGTAATTGCTGCAAAAGGGGCCCAAACCAAGTACTGAGTACATATGCATGCTTCTACTTTTTCAGAGTTCCGATATTGTTCTATGTACAATCCGTGTTTTATTGATTGCATGGAATATTCACATTTTCTGATTGTGGATTTGGGGTTTTCATGAGCTGTAAGCCATAATCATCACAATGATGACAAATCACGGCTTGAACTATCTTGCTTTGCATGGAATGAGTCTCATATATTAGTTTCACCTTTTAAGTTGCTGCACTGAAATAAATGAACTTTTGCATGATATTCTAATTTTTCGAGTTTCACCTGTATACAGTCGTGTGGGCCTCCCGAGTGGAGGGGGAAAGATTAGGGCCTGCAAGGAGGGATCCTGGAGCTGAGTTTAAATTATGATATTGGATATGATTTCTTTAGTTAGGCAAGCATTTGTAGTAAATAATACATAGTACATGACCTAGCAGTTAAAATACAAGATAATTTTTTAGCATGTTTTTAATTCCTTTTCTTTCTCCAATAGGCGCTTCCTTGAAGCAGGCAAACATGTTCTTGTTGAGTACCCAATGGTTCTCTCTGCGCATGCTGCACATGAATTGTGGCAAATGGCAGAAGAAAAAGGTGAGGCGATGCAATACTGTAATTCATGAAATTTGACATAAGAAAGTGGCTAATAATTGTTTTATAATAAACTCCAGCAGGGGCGGACTGACCATATGGAAACTCGGGCACTGCCCGAGGGCCCGGGGTCAGTAGGGGGCCCCATGAGATGCCCCTGGTACCTTTTTTTTTTCATAGGCTTTTTTGAGTTTGGTCAAGGACACAGGGGCCCCCATGATCCCCTATGGGCAATAGGGGGCCCCATGAGTTGTCAGTCCCCCCTGATTTCCAGTGTTTGCATGCAGGTAAATTTTCTACATTCTTCCTTCTCTTGCAGGTAAAGTCTTACATGTTGAACACATTGAGCTCCTTACAGAGGAATACAGGGCACTGAAAAAAGAAGTGGATGGGAGGACACTTGAGAAAGGAGTCCTCCATTTCACAGGCAAGGCCAAATTCTTGTATTCTGTGTTCAGTTTCTTAGTAGATAAGTAGGTATTGTAGTATTGTATAACACTTCTCATCCAAGGCTTACATTTATGAAGGTGCCTTTTAACCACTTGCCAACTGTGCTATAGACGAATGACGGCTACAGCGAGGTTGTCCAGTTCTGGGAGGGCGTCATATGACGTCTTACCAGAACGCGCCCTCCCGCACGCCCCTGACGATCTCCGTGATCGATGTGTCTTACGGACACAGCTGATCATGTGATGTGGTAAAAGGCCAATCACAGCGGCCTTTTACCGCGTGATCAGTCGTGTCCAATGACACAGCAGATCACCGGTAAATGCAGATGCCGGTTATCGGCTGAACTTTCCTCACACTGTCACAGTGTTAGGAAAAAACTGCCAATAACAGGCAATTGTCAGAGGACGGATCTACACCGATCATGGCACTGATGAGCAGTGTCGCCCACCTGTGCCCATCATTCTTGCATATCAGTGCAGCATCATCAGTGCTGCTATCAGTACCCATCATTGTTGCACATTAGTGCAGCATCATCAGTGCTAGCTCATCAGTGCCTATCCGTGCCACCTCATCAGTGCTGCCTATTAGTGCAGCCTCATCAACACACATCAGTAAAGGAGAAAAATTACCTGTTTTGAAAAATGTTATAATTGAAATGCTGAAAAAAAAAAAAAAAGTTTTCCTTTGTTTCTAATTTTTTACTATTTTTTTTTTTTAAAACACCCAGTGGTGAGTAAATACCACCAAAAGAAAGCTCTACATGTGTGAGACAAATAACAATTTCATATAGGTACAGTGTTGCATGACTGAGCAATTGTCATTTAAAGTGTGACAGCGCTGAAAGCTGAAAATTGGCCTGGCAGGAAGGGGGTAGAGGTGAAGCCGCCCCGGTGGGCAGGAAGGGGGTAGAGGTGCCTGGTAGGCACGTGGTTAAAGCATTAGATGTCCATTGCACCGTATTGATTTCCACAAATTATATTTAGGATCTTCCAATAAGATTCATTCCAATGTATACTTTCTATGTACCTTTGCTAAAGCTGACTATGTGATATTCAAATATTGTCTGAATATAAGAGGTGTGGGTATTCTTCCCTGAATCTTGGTGTTCTTGTTTTTTTCTTCTAGATTTGTGCAGTAATTCAGAGTGAAACCTTTTGTGCAGGAGTTTCTTGTAATCAAGACCTGTCTGTGCTGCTCTCTCCCCTTTTGTAGGTTGACTGGTCTTGTCTCTGCCCCCTGCTGTAGTTTTCTGCAGGCAGCTTGTAGTGGGTGGGGCCCATTCGCTTTAAAGCCGAACATGTGTGAAAGTAATAATGCCTCTTTTTTGCAGTTGGGCTGCACCCTCATTGCAAGGGTTAAATACTCGTTCAGATCTAGGGAAACAAGAAGAGTAGTTTTATATACCAGATTCTCTGCTCCCACAGGCTGCCTCAATGTTGTAAAATTGGGCCCTGCAGTTCCTTCTCTCCTGTGCCTCAGTGGTCACAAGTCCTCTGACATCATCAAGTCCGTTGATGGGTTCAGAACCCTGAATTTGATGCAAGGACATTGAGAAACAGTCCACCGCTGGAGCACAGGGAAGCACCTGCTGCTGCAGGAATGGAGGATCAAGTAAGTAAAACACTTTTCCCATCGCCTAAACCTAAATGAGCATTTCTGTCCTCTCTGGAGTTGGGCTGTAACGTGGAACAATATTCATTTCAGCTCCAGCTATGTGGCATCCACGAGCTCCCTGCCCGGCCACTGATATATTCAAGCAGCCAGCTTCGGGGTCTCAATCGCCAGCCGGTGTCATTGGCCGGGCAGGGATGATGTCACTCCCCCCACATGCGCGGAAGTTCACTCCCATTTGGCATTGACAAAATTTGTACAGTAAGCTGTGTGTGCGTTGCTCAGTGTACGAGGCGAACAGGCAGGTAAGTAGTTTTGATGCAGAAGAGACGAAGCATCTCACAATGCGTTAAAAATCCGCCTTCCAGTCCGGACAGTTAAATATTCAAAGCTGGGATTTTTTTTGTTTTTTTTGCTTATGCAAAATGAAATGTAAAAATTTTGAAAAAAAGGGTTATTCTTATAAAATTTTGCAAATAAATAATATTTCATCATAAATCTTGGCCAAAATTTATTCCGTTACCTTTTTAGTAAAAAAAAATAAGCCAAATTAGTTTATAACCAAAAATGATCATTTTTAAACTACATTTTTACATACTGTACCCTAGCAGTACAGTGCCACCATGGTGACACTGTACTACTTTTGGGGGGTGATGAAGATTTTTTTATTTTTTGAAACCTGATTGGCGGAATTTTTACACCCATATAGGAGTAAAAAGCAAGCATTTCTCTTTCTCTCTGTCTGCATTCTTGCAGCCATGAGAACTACTGAGTGAGCTGTGATTGGTCACAGCTTGTCACATGGTACAAGGCTGTTGTGAATAGCCTTGATTCATGTGACCTCTGTGATCATTCACAGATTTCACACGTAGCCAAGCAATAGATGTCACAAGTGACATCTTGCTTACTACTTTGCATGTGATCACTGATTGGCCAATCAGTGATCACATTTGAAGGGACCTCCTACAGACTGTCCCGTCTGATCGGTGTTTCACTGTTCCGGAGGACACAGCGGGCACCGGATCGCGGTGCTGCGCGCTCCCAGGGAGCGCTCACAAGCATATAAAGGCCGTTTATAAATGGCCACCCGACCCTGCAGTGCCACCGTCCGCCATTTATATGCAACAGCCGGTCGGGAAGTGGTTAAAAAGCTAAAGTTCCACTTTAAATTCACCAGGCATTGAAGCAGAACTAAAGTGTGTTTTTTGTGAGTTTTTTTTTTTTTTGTTTTGTTTTTTTTAATGCGAACACTAAAATTTAAAAAATTCATGCTTTGTTACTTATTGCAATTTATCCATATTTCAGCTTTTCTTTTTCATATACCATCTTGTAAACTCAATAAATAACCAGAGTGTGCAAATTTTGAATAGTCAGGTCATACAAGATAGGTAACATTAATGGAAGCTCATGGCCATTAAATCAAGTCCAGTGTCTAAAGTCCTGGCTGGAAGTCCTGTAGGAAATGGAAGGCACTGACTGCAACTCTCCTCCACAAAGCAAGATCTGGGTACCCTTTCTGAGCAAATAAAACAAAGTGACATAAGTGCCACTATCTCGGTTTACTAATTGAATTCATTTTTTTTTTGGGGGACTTTTCGGTTTGTAGTGAAAACTTTGTAAACCGAAACGCCGTTTCCTATAAGAGTGCATTGAAAACCAATTAATCCGTTCCTGAGGTTAAAAAAAAGTAAACGCTACTAAAGTTAACCGCAGTTATTTTATCAAGTCGTGGTATTTTAGTAGTGACAACCATGTGTTAATTTCTCAGCTGTCAGCGGGGTTCCCCACTGACAACTGAATATAAAAGAATTGCCAATGGCAATTAAATATACCACGTGGGGTCCCCCCTCCCATCCATACCAAGCTCTTCGGGTCTGGTATGGATTTTGATGGGAACTCCCCTCATCTTAAAAAATGTATCAATTTGCCCCCCCCCCAAAATCCATACCAGACCCTTATCGGAGCATGCAGCCTAGAAGGTCCGGAAAGGGGGCCTCCAGATCCCGCCCCCCCATGTGAATGAGTATGGGGTACATGGTCCCATTACTCATTCACAAAGAACAAAAAGTGTAGTGTGAAAAAAGACAGGACAGGGTCTTTGACAAGTCCTTTATTAACCTCCCTGGCGGTCTGATTATTTCAGATTTTTGGGTGCTCCAAAGTCAGTACCATTTTTTTGCATGGAAATATGTAGTTTTTTTATTGTAGGCTGTAATTTTTAGGAATAACTCACTGAAATCTGTCCGAAAAGAGTCTAGTACCAAAACATCCTGGGTAGGATAAAATTTGAAAATTTAAAAAAAGTCATTTTTTTCAAAACAAATTTTTCATAGTAAAACATTGCGGTTTCAAACCATTTCACATACATCTGGTCCCTGTGACGTCGGGACGTCAAATTTTGAAATTTTTTTTTTTTTTTTTTAAATGATTATTACATAGTAAAACATTGCTGTTTCAATGCATTTCACATACATTTTGTCCCGAGTGCTTTGTCCGGCGCCCTGCCTGCATTTTGACTGTTCTTTCTGCCTGGAAACTGAGAAACGTCCATGGCGTCCAAAAAACGTCCCTTTACGTCAAAAGCGGTTTTAGACCGGCTAGAGAACAGCGATAGTAAATCAGAACCACTTGCAGAATTGAGTGATAATGATTCGTGGGGGAAATTCCTCATCAGACACTGAAAACGATTTTGCGACTTTGCTCAGCGATGTGCGAACTTGCCTCTGTATTTCAAATTTCAGTATTTTTGGTTTGATTATATTATTGAAATAAATTTATTATTATATATTTTTTATGATTATTTATTAAATTATAATTTATGATTTCATGTTTCAAATTTTATCCTACCCGGGATGTTTACTAGACTCTTGTTCGGACAGATTTCAGTGAGCTATTCCTAAAAATTACAGCCTACAATAAAAAACTACATATTTCCATGCAAAAAAATGGTACCGCTTTCAGCACAAAAAATCGGAAAGAATCATACCGCCGAGGAGGGTAAAGAGTGAACACCACACGCTGAGTGGCTCCAAGAGCATGAAAAGTGGACAGCTACCTCAGCTCCTCCCCATTAAGCCATGCCCCCTGATATAGTTCACCCTGCCTCCGGGACGTAATGATAGAGATTGACTAAGCCCTAGGGCAATATGCATCAGATGGTGTGCGGCTTAAAGGGAGAAGCTGAGGTAGTTGTCCACTTTCCATGCACTTGGACCCACTCCGCTCACTCACTAGCACATCACATTAGCACACACATCAGCACCCTATTTGGAGAGACACTGGAGCCACTACATCAGCACTTGGAGCTGCGCTCCTTCAAGAATTCGTCAGGTGTTTGTTGCTCTAAATACTTTTATTTTAATGCTTTTGTTTTCTTCATTGTACTTAGGTGGACCTCTACATAAGCAGCGCTCAGGATTCACTGCATTTAGTGGCATAGCTCGGGTGACCTGGCTGGTTGACCTTTTTGGAGAGTTGACTGTTACCTCTGCTACCCAGGAAGAGAATCCAGGAGAAGATTACTCCAAGCTGACTGCACACTTTGTTACAGCAAATAATAAGTGAGTGAGAATTTAGTAGAATAGACTATCAAGGCTTAGAGACCCTTTCCCCGAAAACTCTGAGCAAAGTGACAGCATCTGCTGATAGCCCACCACCTAGCAAAGTATACTTACCTTTTGTGAGCTCCTTCACTGCCAACTCGCTCTGTAAAGCTGTCATACCATTGCTGCAACACAGGAAGGATTCTAGGTATGTGACCTACACTGTTTGACAGTGAACATGCCTGGGTGGCCATTTGGCAGACCCAAATGCTGTTGCATAGGAGTAACTATGGAATCATGCACATACGCTATGACATCAAAGCTTACTCAAGGTAGACTTTGAAGCGGAGAGGCGGCACGGGAGTATGAATATCTTCCTAGAGAAATGAGCCATTGCCAAACACTTTTTTACTTAAACACTTCCCGACCGACCGTTGCATATAAACGGCTGGGCGGTGGCACTGCAGGGTCGGGTGGCCGTTTATAAACGGCCTCCCCGCACCCTGCTTGTGCGCGCTCCCTGGGAGCGTGCAGCACCACGATCCGGTGCCCGCTGTGTCCTCCGGACACAGTGAAACACCGATCGTCGGACGGGACCTCTGTACGGGGTCCCAATCATGTGATCACTGATTGGCCAATCAGTGATCACATGCAAAGTAGTAAGCAAGATGTCACTTGTGACATCATTGCTTACTACGTGTGAAATCTGTGAATGATCACAGAGATCACATGGTACAAGGCTATTCACAACAGCCTTGTACCATGTGACAAGCTGTGACCAATCACAGCTCACTCAGTACTTCTCAATGAGTGCAAGAATGTAGACAGGGAGAAAGAGAAATGATTGCTTTTACATCCTATATGGGTGTAAAAGCAATCAGTGTAAAAAAAAAAAAAAAAAAAAAAATCTTCATCACCCCCCACAAGTAGTACAGTGTCACCATGGTGACACTGTACTGTTAGGGTGACAGTATATAAAAAAAAAATAAAAAACAATAATATATAAAAATGTAAAAAAAATGTTTAAAAATTATAATTTTTGGTTTATAAACTAATTTTTTTTTTTTTTTTTTTTTTTTTACTAAAAAGATAACGGAATAAATTTTATGAAAAGATTTATGATGAAATATTGTTTGTTTGCAAAATGTTATAAAAAAAACCACTTTTGTTGAAAATTTTTGGACTTTTTCATTTACATAGCAAAAAAAAAAATAAAATTCCCAGCGGTGAATAAATGCCACCAAAATAAAGCTTTCTCTGTCTTAAAAAAAATGGTATAAAAAATTAATTTGGGTACAGTGTTGCATGACTGCGCAATTGTCATTCAAAGTGTGATAGCGCTGAAAACTGAAAATTGCCCTGGTCAGGAAGGGGGTAAAAGTGTCCGGTCTGGAAGTGGTTAAACACTTGAATCCTAGGTGTCATTTTAAAAGGGGGCTAGGACAGCAGCCATGTGTCCCATTGCCAATTAAAAAGGACAGCAGGACTCAGTGGATCCCAGTGGTTTTCAGTGTTGAAACCACACTTAGCCCAGAAGGTCAAAAAGGCTCCTAGGTTTCTGATCCGTTTTCTAGTAGCTTTCATGTAGGAGGGATGGTAAAAACAGATGTTACTGCGTTGTGTTTACAGAGAAAGTGACATGACACTTTCTATGGGTCCAGAGACTAGAACTGACCCGCAGCTCTGGCCCGCCTAACCCTGCAGCCAGGGGCGGACTGACAACTCATGGGGCCCCGGGCAATAGGGGATCATGGGGCCCCTGTGTCCTTGCCCAAACTCAAAAAAGCCTATGAAAAAGCTACCAGGGGCATCGCATGGGGCCCCCTACTGGCCCCGGGCCCTCGGGCAGTGCCCGAGTTTCCAAATGGTAATGCCTGCAGCAATACTTCACTGTAGTGTTCTGTTGCTGCAGAGCTCCACTGAGCTGAACCAGACTGACCCTGGTAAAAAAAAAGTACAAAGCAAATTTTAATGTTCTCTGATTTTAATGTTAATGTTCTGGATTGTCGAGCTCATGTAAGCAAACCCAGCGTCATTCAGAAATTTTGGCCATCACACTACTATGAAAATGTTGCCGTTTATTTGTGTCCACACAATCCCAATTTTTATGCTAGCAATTTAAACAAAGTTACATTTTTTTTTTTTTTCCTGCATGCTTTGCAATGTAGTATCTATACAGGAAAAATCTTTCCAAAAGAAAAACGTAAACATTCACTCTGAGGGTTACCATTACATTGCATAAAAATCCCAGGTATATAGTTTTAATTACCAGACTTTGCCAATTATACTTTGGGCAAATATCCAAGGCTGCACACATTACATACAGTAACAGTTTCCTTGTTGACAAAGTCCGGAAGTGGCGAAACGCGTCCAGGGCACATGACGTATTGACGTTCCCAGAAGTGCCGTGGCGGCCATTTTGGATTCTGGAGCGCTTGTGTTTTGGCGTTCCTGGGACTCGTGGTGTACTCCTGGCACTCTTTCTGAGCCAAATTGACAGTGTTGGGAAGGATTGTGGCGGCTTAACTCCCTTGTGATTGGGAGACTATTTGATGCCACAATGTGGCTGTGTACTTGTCGTCAGGACCAGGAAGCCGTTTTTACCAGTTTTTAATGTAAGTGGCTGCAATAAAATTTATATGCTATTTTGATTCATATACTGATCCCTGGTCTGTTTGTGAGGTCTAAAGAAAGTGGCTGAACAAGAGGATGCCAGGTTGAGGATATTCCATGCCTATTTTTGATCACATGCTGATATTACTGATTTTAGGGTAATTATGGTATATGGTTTGCAGTGACATGCACTTTTTATATGGTTTGCAGTGACATGTACTGAGTATATATTTTTTACACGATTGCTGTGACACCAACGTGTTTTGCATGCTGCACGTGTGGCACTATTTTGTTACCTAAGATAATATACTATGTCTAGATTTAGTTTTTTTTTTGAGGTATATGAAGAACATCTGAGATTTATCTTCATTTCGGAGTAATGAGCACTTATTCATCAAGATTTGGACATAACTTTGGACATTTTATTTTGGTTTTTGTTTGAGATTTTGGACACTGTGCTTTTGGGACTTTGAGTGTATTTAAGTCGGTTGATATAATATATTGGTACTTCAGGGGAAGGATAGTGATACGACTTTAAGGGGTATTGTGTGTTATTTTTTTTTTTTTTTTTTTGATGTGTGCTGACTTATAGTTATTTCATACAGTAACAGTTGCCATGGAAAAATTGCAGGAGAATGCATTTTTTTCTAAATTTTCAAAAATGAAAATCTAGACAATACAAATATGCTGTATGCATCCAAATTTGCTACCAAATTAAAGCCCTTCCATTCTTGGGGAAAGGCGGGGGTGGGGATATGTTAACGCAACCTACAAAGAAGTATAAGGTATGGAACTAAGACTTCTACAAAATATAAACAAATGCTCAGGGATGCAAAGGTTGGGGAAGATAAAGGCTCAAGACCAAGATGATAAACTTTTAACAATGGAAACCAGCGCAAACCCACATGAGTGACGCACTTCCGGTTGCCTGGTCCGTCGTCTGACGTCATTTCCGGTGAGTGGAGCGCACGCCGGCGGTGCGTTCCAAGGGGCCATCTTAGCCTAGTAGATGAGTCTTAGCTGAGGTCTGCCATCCTGCTGTACACTAAACTGTGGGGTCTCTTACAAAAATCGGTGTACATGAAAAGTGGATCATTTTAGAAGAAAATCATTGTTTTGAATAAAAGGCGGGCTATATCCCGCAAAAGAATGTGAGTGGTCTGGAGAGATTAATTTGAGGAGAAATTACTACGGTATCACGCTATGGTCTTTTCTTCTTCCTGATTTTCCTTGGGGGATTCGGTGAGAGGAGTAAGCAGAAGAGGTACCTAGACATAAGAGGAAACAGCACTTGGAGGTCTCACACAAAGTAAAGGGGGTCCAGGAGCCCTTAACAATCCTGAAAGGCGTGTGACTCACCAATATCTGGTGAGTGCGGCTAATGTTGATTTCTGCACTGGTGGATGGTGAAGGGATCAGTAACACGGAAGAACCAAATTATAATTTAATTTGATTTAATTTTGTCCCACGGGACTGTATTATTATATATATATATTTTCTGGGATTTTTTTGGATTTTTTTCGTCACTTTGTTTTTTTGTCACTGGACTTATGATTCTAATGTTTTATATATATTTTTTTATATCAATTTATTTATATATAATTCATTATATATATCTTTATCAGCACATTAATGTTTTTTTAAGCTGAGTAATGTTATTGACCATGTGGGTTTGCGCTGGTTTCCATTGTTAAAAGTTTTTTGGTCTTTTGTACCTGTGCACAGCAGCATCTCACGGGGATTTGTGTGGTAAATAGGAAGTCCTGAGCGCTGAGGTTTTGTTTTCTTTACACAAGATGATAAACTGTTTTTGACATGGAAACCCAACTATGCAAGACTTCTTTCCCTGGAGATCTAAAGATGTTTCCTGAACAAGAATCCGTAAGATACCTAGTTCTGCAATCCTTTCCCTAAACAATCATATACAGATATTATCTTTTTGTTTACGAAACCGTTGGATTTCTCCCAAAACCAAATTTATCTTTAAATTTCAGCTAACGTATATATGAATTTTGCATTTCTAAAATTTATACCTGAGCTAATTATCTAAAGCATAATAATACATAACCGCTCCAAATTGTCCTACTATTGTGTATCCTTCTTTACGAAATGCCAAATTTGTTCTTCAAACATTTCCGGTTTTAGGTCTGACTTTGTAAATGTTTGTTGATTTTTATTTTTGAAAACTGCTGGAAAAAAAATGGTAGTGGTGATACTTATATCAAGCATTGAGATGTTCATTTTCTAACATCTGGAAAATGAATGGGATTTTGAAAGTTGCAATTGGCATTAATAAACAATATCATCCCATTTTGCTTGACTCCCGTAGGGTGTATGGAATCTTTTGTAGTCCTATTTGGTTCTTTCTTAGTGCATTTAACATATGTGCTCTTGTATTTCAGGCCAGTAACCTGGATTGAAGAAAGAGCCCCTGGCATGAAACGAGAGAAAAAAGTCAACTTTACATTTACAAACGGAGTTCTAGATAGTTTGCCTCCAGCTAGAAGAGGGTCTGTTGGGCCATTTATGCAGGATCAGAACCTTTTTGCACAAAAGCTGTTGGGCCAAGTGCCTAAAGAAGAACTGGCAGCTGAGAAGAAACGCATTCTGTATTGCATTGACTTAGCTGAGAAGATAAAGCAATATTGTGAGCACTGAGCCAGTGGCCGTATTAACTGCTACAGAGGGTATTTATGGATACTGCTCAATGAAATTATACACTGGAGTTTCTTTCACTAATGATTCCTACAGACACAAAGTACTAGGATGGCAAAAAAGTCTTATTGAGCATTGTCTGTGATGATCCTATGGGAATCAGGCCATGTAGGGATTCCCACTCAAGCTGATGAGTGTTTTTATAATACACTGATACATGGCTATGAAATATAAATATAAAGAAAAGGACAAAGTTTGGAGTTTACTTGATACCCTTTCATTGGCTAACTCAGTGTTTCTCAACTCCAGTCCTCATGGACCCCCAACAGATCATGTTTTCAGGATTTCCCTCAGATGAAACAGCTGTGGTAGTTACTAAGGCAGTGAAACTGATCAAATCACCTGTGCAAAATAATGGAAATCCTAAAAACATGACCTGTTGGGGGTCCATGAGGACTGGAGTTGAGAAACATTGGGCTAACTTAAGTTGTTAAAGATGCCAGATTCCAAAACCTTCCTTCTGTCTCTTCTTAGGCTTTGTACACTTCTGAAATTTGTTTCTAAAACCCAAATATTTTTACAGAGTTACAGTTGCAAGAAAAAGTATGTGAATCCCTTGGGATTACGTGGAATTTTGCATGAATTGGGCACAAAATTTGCTCTGAACGTCATCTAAGTCTCAACAATAGAAGAACACAGTCTGCTGAACATAATACTACACAAACATTAGATATTGCCATGGTTTAATTGCACATAACATGTAAACATTCACAGTGCAGGGAGGAAAAAGTATGTGAACCTTTGGACTTAATAACTGGTTGATCCTCCTTTGGCAGCAATAACCTCAACCAAACGTTTCCTGTAGTTGCAGATCAGACCTGCACAACGATCCGGAGTAATTTTGGACCACTCCTCTTCACAAAACTGTTTCAGTGTAGCAATATTCTTGGGATGTCTGGTGTGAATCGCTCTCTTAAGGTCATGCCACAGCATTTCAATGGGGTTGAGGTCAGGACTCTGACTGGGCCACTCCAGAAGGCGTATTCTGTGCTGTTGCAGCCATTGTTTTGTTGAATTACTTGTATGCTTTGGGTCATTGTCCTGTTGCATCTCCCATCCTCTGCGGAGCTTCAGTTGGCGGACAGATGGTCGTACGTTTTCCTGCAAAATGTCTTGATAAACTCTGGAATTCATTTTCCCATCAATGACAACAATCCGTCCAGGCCCTGAGGCAGGAAAGCAGCCCCAAACCATGATGCTCCCTCCGCCATGTTTCACAGTGGGGATGAGGTTTTGATATTGGTGTGCTGTGCCTTTTTTTCTCCACACATAGTGTTTGTGTGTTCTTCCCAAACAACTCAATCTTGGTTTCATCTGTCCTCAGTATATTTTGCCAGTAGTGCTGTGGAACATCCAGGTGCTCTTTTGCAAACTTCAAACGTGCTGCAATATTCTTTTTGGACAGCAATGGCTTCCTCCGTGGTGTCCTCCCATGTACTCCATTCTTGTTTAATGTTTTCCTTATTGTAGATGTGTCAACAAAAATGTTAGCATGTGCCAGAGATTTCTGTAGGTCTTTAGCTGACACTCTGGGATTCTTCTTTACCTCATGCAGCATTCTGCGCTGTGCTCTTGCAGTCATTTTTACAGGACGACCACGCCTAGGGAGAGTAGCAACAGTGCTAAACTTTCTCCATTTGTAGACAGTCTGTCTTACCGTGGACACATGAACATCAAGGCTTTTGGAGATACTTTTGTAACCCTTTCCAGCTTCATGCAAGGCAACAATTCTTGATCATAGGTCTTCTGAGAGCTCTTTTCTGCGAGGTATGGTTCACATCAGACAGTGCTTCTTGAAACCAGTAAACCCAAAACAGGTGTGTGTTTTTTAAGGGCAGGACAGCTGTCAGCAACACATCCAATATCATCACACTGATTGGAGTCAAGGTTGGCTCACTCCTGGATCCAATTACCTCTGGGAGAAGTCATTAAGCTAGGGCCTCACATACTTTTTCCTCCCTGCACTGTAAATGTTTACATGTTATGTGCAATTAAACCATGGCAACATCTAATGTTTGTGTAGTATTATGTTCAGCAGACTGTGTTCTTCTATTGTTGTGACTTAGATGACGTTCAGAGCACATTTTATGCCCAATGCATGCAAAACTCCACGTAATCCCAAGGGGTTCACATACTTTTTCTTGCAACTGTATAAGGAGGAACAATAAAGTAAGGGTACCATCTATATTCCAAACTTTCTACATTAATCAATGGCTTACATGACACAATACTTTACTGCTATGGAGAAAAGGGAAGGACTTTAACCATGGATACGTAACTTCTTTTCAGTGGCCAAAGCACAAAGTACATTGCAGTTGTCCCCAGGATGGACAGATAAATTCCCTTATCCTCAGTGAGGTATCATTGCGTAAGGACAAACTTCAGGTTTCCTTTCACTTTAAATACTTAATTTGGGCCAGCTTGGTTAGAACTAGTTCTTACCATGCCTGAATGGTATGGCCATTGAGGTTGCTGAAATCCATTGTAGTAGAATTCGCTACATACAATGAGCACTATTGTCTTCCTGGAGGGGTATAGATGACTTTCCTCTGTTGCTGAAAAAAAAAGAGAGTCAGCTGGCAGCACCTTGGTCCCAAGGCTGCTCCAGAATGGTCAAGGTGCTGTTTAAGGGACTTTCTGTCCGCAGAGGGAAAACTGTCCATATTCCTCCAGGAAGACAACAATGCTTACTGTATGTGACAGATTGTGTTGTGTATTACAGTAGCCCCAGTGACCACACCACTCTGGCATGGTAAGAATTCATTTTAACCAAGGTGACCCAAATTAAATATTTAAAGTGACAGGAAACCTGTTGAGAGATAGATAGATAGATGCTATTGCTGCCCTCTAGAAAAGCCAGGTGATAGCGTTTTTACACAGCTTACTTTGAGTGAGTGACCCTGAACCAGGGGCGGACTGACAACTCATGGGGCCCCCGGGCAATAGGGGATCATGGGGCCCCTGTGTCCTTGCCCAAACTCAAAAAAGCCTATGAAAAAGGTACCAGGGGCATCTCATGGGGCCCCCTACTGACCCCAGGCCCTCGGGCACTGCCCGAGTTTCCAAATGGTCAGTCCGCCCCTGCCCTAAACAAATATTCAGCTCAGGTAGAGAAAAGTGAGAAGACATTTTTCTCAATGCTTGTTTTGGGTCAGTGACTCAAAGGGTTGATTTTGCTAACTGCAAATATACTGTGCACTGCAAGTGCAGTTGCTCTAGATGTGAGGGAAAGCTCTACTGATTTCTATCATCCAATCATGCGCAAGCAAAAATGCTGTTTTTATTTTCCTTGCATGTGATTGGATATTTTTTGCAAAGTGAAGCTTTACCTAAGTTAGTAAGCTCTGGAGCAACTGCACAATATATATTTATTTATTTATTTCAGGTACTTATATAGCGCCTGTCAATTTACGCAGCTCTTTACATATATATTGTACATTCACATCAGTCCCTAACCCTCAGGGGGCGTACAATCTAAGGTCCCTAACTTACATTCATACATACACATACTAGGGCCAATTTAGACAGGAGCCAATTAACCTACCAGCATGTTTTTGGAGTGTGGGAGGAAAACCAGAGTACCTGGAGGAAACCCACACAGGCACGGGGAGAACATGCAAACTCCAGGCAGGTGGTGGCGTGGATGGGATTCGAACCAACGACCAGAGTACTGCCAGGCAGAAGTGCTAACCATTTAGCCACTGTGCTGCTGTATATGGCTAACACTTTGACCCTCTTGCTTTAAATTCTTTGGGGTTGATTTATTAAAGGCAGACAGCTAACCTCATAAAGCCCCTGATTCAATGTTTTCCCCAAGATGAGCTTAAAGTTTCACATTCTGAAGCTTCTGTCCGCAGTGGAGATTTTTAATCAACCAGCACCTTGAAGTTAACATCTTGCTAGCTTTTATCTCGCTACATTTTGTTTGAGGTGATTGTAGCCGTATTAGTGCATTTGCGACAGAAACAATTGAGTACTGTCCGTGATACTTTTTTTTTATTTGTACTCGCATACAATTTTGAGGACAAGCTTTCGGGGGATGTCACCTTGAAAGAAGGGGACATACCCCGAAAGCTTGTCCTCAAAATTGTGAGTGCAAATAAAAAAAGTATCACGGACAGTACTCAATTGTTTATCTCGCTACATTGAATTCTATGTTCTGTAAATTCGCTTTTTCTATGGGAATGTACAGACTTTTAACAGCAGTGTCCTATACTACAAATGGCAGTTATGTCCTTCAACATGGTATTCAGGTTTGCAGGTTAGCATATTGCATGAATTGCACATAAGTACTATAGAGCAGATTTAAAGTGTTACTAAACCCAGGACTCTGCATTCACTATATCCGCTCTCCCCAGACCCCGCATTCACTATATCCGCTCTCCCCAGACCCTGCATTTCACTATATCCGGTCTCCCCGGACCCCTCATTCACTATATCCGCTCTCCCCAGACCCTGCATTCACTATATCCGCTCTCCCCAGACCCTGCATTCACTATATCCGCTCTCCCCAGACCCGCATTCACTATATCCGGTCTCCCCGGACCCTCATTCACTATATCCGCTCTCCCCGGACCCTGCATTCACTATATCCGCTCTCCCCGGACCCTGCATTCACTATATCCGCTCTCCCCGGACCCTGCATTCACTATATCCGCTCTCCCAGGACCCTGCATTCACTATATGGTCTCCCCGGACCCTGCATTCACTATATCCGCTCTCCCCACCCGGACCCGCATTCACTATATCCGCTCTCCCCAGGACCCCGCATTCACTATATCCGCTCTCCCCGGACCCGCATTCACTAATATCCGGTCTCCCCGGACCCCGCATTCACTATATCCGCTCTCCCCGGACCCGCATTCACTATATCCGCTCTCCCCGGACCCTGCATTCACTATATCCGCTCTCCCGGACCCTGCATTCACTATATCCGCTCTCCC